GCACTACGTTCAAGAAACTAGCTGAAGGTGAGCGCGCGGACCAACTGTCTTCATAGCACGGATGTTTACCTGGGGCTTTAGGAACATCGAACAGGTTGTTTCACGCGAGACTGGACAACGGCAAAGACGTCGTCGCCAGGCTACCCTTTCCTATAGCAGGACCGACGCGTCTTACTACGGCAAGTGAAGTGCTACGCTTGAATTTGCTAGACTGCGCTTGAATACGCCAACCCCCCGGGTACTCAGCTACTACTGTATCGATGCCGCCGCAACTGACGTGGGATCGGAGTTCATCATCATGGAAAAGGTTCCGGGCGTTGACCTGTACCCGAGGTGGAATGACGATATTCCTAGTGATGAATTCGGCGGCCTCATACGCGACCTTGTCAAGACTGAGAGAAGATGGGTCAACGCATCCTTGTCTGGCATCGGAAGCCTTTACTTCGCGAGGGACTTGCCTCCGACCATCCTCTCTTTAGGGCTACCTGGCGATGTACCATGTCATGAACAATGGGGGCGCTTCGTCATAGGACCCAGTGTGGTGCGCAAATTCTGGAAAGGAGGCCGCTCACAACTCTCTGTCGACCGTGGGCCTTGTACGTGATATCCAGTGCAAGTTATAGCCGCTTAATCTGACTCTTTGGCAGGGAACGAATTACGCTCGGAGATCAGCGCCGCTATCCGATGTGGGATCGAATGGCTCAGGCACTTCGCACGACCATACCCACGTCATAGTCCTCTCTACCGGAATGAACGAGACAACTCGCCAGCGACTCATATCGACGTTCTACAGCGCTGTCTCCATATCATCCCTTACCTCCCAGACCCCCCTGAATATTCCACGTTTTGTGTGTGGCACCCAGATCTGAACCCATCGAACATCATCGTCGACGAGACTGGTCCTCTGATTCCGAGGTGCTACCTCGACTGGCAGACGGCCACTGTTAATGCCCTCCTCGACATCTCCGTACCTTCATTCTTGCGTTATGGAGGGGGCAAGTACGTCGAAGCGGGACTTGGGTCCTCGTCTATGCCCGAACTCCCGGCCGAATTCAAACAGCTTCCCGAGACCGAACAAACGATCGCAAAGAAGGAACAACGGCTTGCCGCACGCTCGAACTACTATCATTTTGTCACGGAGCAGTGGAACCCTGCGCTGCACGCTGCACAGCTCTCGCGATGGCAGGAGTGGTTCCATATCCTACTCGAGTATCCACAACACACATTTAAGCAGGCTCTCATTGACATGTGCAAGGCTTGGGACGACGTCGCCCCCGGCACGACGTGCCCCATTTCATTCGATTCCGCTGAGGTTCGTATCAACGAGGTTGACTTCTTGGGGTGGGCGCGCGAGCAGGCTGTTCAGTTGCTGCGGGAAAAGATTGGTCTTGGGCCGGACGGCTGGGTTAAGGAGAACGAACTGAAGGACGCAAAGCGGCGCAACCGCGAGGCGTTGGAGCAGACGGTAGCAGAGCTAGACCATGAGGAGGACAAGGCGTACATCGGAAGGCGGTGGCCTTTCCAGGACGGTGTAATATCTTCTACTGCTGAGACTTGTCGTTAGATTACGAAATACTTGGTGCGATATAATGCGAAGAGTATACACCAGTCCACCTGACTTATCTCAGTTACAGTTATTAACTGATTCATCCAAACGGCGTGTTACGGCCGTCGGAGGACAGACAACGATATAGTTGAGTATCCCAATATGCCCACGTCGTCCATGCTGGCATGCTATTATGCCTCTCGCGTAAGATAGTGTCGCGGCAACCATTCAGGGGGAGACCACGGCTTGGCCAGAATTTCTGCGGCCACCATCTGTGCTATGACTTCCGCGCTGGTAAGTTATGCCAAAAGGACCGTACGTGAGCCAATCGCGATTACATAGCGGTCAGGGAATAGCAGATACGCACCATGCAAATGCACGCGGCATACCGTGCCCACTGTACCCAGCAGAGACGAAATTACCGTCGTAGCCGGTTGGATTGGAGGGATCGACAACACGCCCCACCTGCAATGCAACTCAACCTTCGCCACCGGGTATGGATTTACGTGCACTTACGAAGGGGTCGCTAGTTGCGGTGAACGCCATGATACCGCTCCATTCCCACTCAGGCTCGCGCCCCTCCTCGTATTTACCTGGGAACAGTGCGGGGAGGAATCTCCTCAGCGCACTACCTGCCTTCTCGTTCACCTCGGAGTCATCGGCTACATAGGTCTCGAATGTTGGGCCCGTGGCATCCCGTCCGCCACCTATAATCACTAACGGGTGCTCCTGGCCCTCCTCAAAAGGACGCGGGAACCAGTACTCGAAGCCATCGTTCCCGGTCCATGCGTGTCGCGAGATCGATTCCAAAGGTGCGGCAGCGCGCAGCGCCATGACTTGGCCGCGGACAGGGATCACACCGGATGGACCACGCATGTGCGGGAGAAGGTGTGAGACATACGCGTTCGTGGCGTGGACGACACGCGTGCAGGAGATCTGGCCGCGAGGCGTGGTTAGCGTCCACGGGCGCGGAGCTGATTCGGACGACGACAAAATCGCGGTGACGGGCGTGCGCGTGTGGAGGGTGAGGTTCAGGGCAGGAGAGGCGGCCGCGAGCTTGTAGAGCTCAGTGACGAACTTGAGAGGCCAGAGGTTGTAACCAGTGTGGAGGTAGCCTGGGTGCGAGGACCCATAGGTCTATATCATTCGCTATTTCTGAATAACATGGAGCATAGACAGATGTCAATTGGACGCACCTCGTCCGCTGAAAGCCAGGTCACATCGTCGAGGGGAGCACCGGCAGCTTTCGCAGCCTCGTAGTCAGCCCTTGCTTCTTCATATTCTTTGGGGGTGATCAGCAACTCAATTCTACCACCATTGACGAGGTCTACATCTCGCTCGAGACCGTGCTCCTCAATCATCCCGACGATGGAAGAGACGGTATGCCGTTCAAGGGCTAACCACCGCAAGGCCTCATCTGTTCCAAACCTTTGCGATGCGGCGGTAAAAGAGGTGAAAGCCAGTGACAATTGTCCGCCATTGCGCCCTAACCTATAATTGATATCACCCCCTCCAAGTACAGAGCGAGGACCCCACCTGTCGCGCCGGCACCTACACTCGCATTCAGTGCACTCCGTTGTGGAGTTGGAACCACAATCTTACAGAAATCACGAGCATCCAGGATAACCACCTTCAACTTCTCAACGTCTTCTTGACCCTCCAGCTCTTTGCCCAGGTGGTACGCCGCCGACACACCCGTCAGCCCACTCCCTAAGATGCATACATCCGCGTCCTGCGTGAGTGGGCCCTCGCTACCTTCCGCTGCAAGGGGGTTTGCACCTGGCGCGTTGATCCAGAAGGATTTCGTCCAGTTGGCTACGGGCAGGGGAGCCGGGCCGTGGTCGACCTGCAATTCCAGGATGCGTTGCGAGTCCTCGAGCGCGTTTGTAACAATAGGGAGAGCGGCCATGAGCAATGGGAAGACCCAGAAGACCCCCATCCTTCAGGATAGATGGGAAGGTGAACGAGACCTAGGTTGACTACGTCGCAGTCGGTGCAGGCGATGACTCGATGTCCCGCGCACTGTGTAGGTTGCCCAGACCGTCCGGCATGCCATTGCCGAAGTTCTGCGTGGTATGTGCTTCATTGAACCAAGTAAGTAGCGTCTCGGGATATGATTTCCAAGGAGTGAGATCGTTCCTATGCATAGATTCGTTGGCTATGTGACAGGCCCCATGGGGGCTCGCGCGAAAGAGCGCGATTGTCCCAAAGTGACACGGGCCGCTCTCTGAGTACATAAGGGTTTGGATCCGAGTCTTACACCTCTGTACAAAATGTACCACTCTGTGAGACTTGTTCTTCCCGCAAGTATGGCATCCAATGAGAATGACGACCCACAGGAAACCGGCACCTACAGGCTACAACGGCGACACTACACATCCACAGTGGTGAGTAGGCTCAAACTATCTCCGTACAGGCGATTAAATACACAAACAAACACATTCGCAAAGAGTGTCCCATTGAGTGCAGAGTAGTGCATGGTGGAGCGTACAACGCTATCGTCTCGCGCTAACACCATTTCCATTTTGTGTGGTCGACTTTCTGCTCGAACGTGATCGGTGCCTATGGTGGCTGTGTGTGAGGCCTTGAGAGGGTGCGGGAGGGGGTGCAGCAGAGTTAGGTGAAGGTGAGTGTGTGGACGGTGCGGGAGCAGGCTCGGTAGAGGGATAGGGAACTTGATATGAATGGTATTGCGGAGGGACGGGATCTCGTGCGAGGTAGTGCAGCAGGGAAGGTTGTGCAGGAGCGGCGATGTCGACAGCATCTAGCAGTAGACTAGTGCAGTGGTCCGTTGGCGACCGCTTGCAAAAGAAAGAGAATTGTGACGCACTTGCATTCGTCCTGTAGCCTTCGTAGCTTTTCCTCCGCTAACGCGAGCTCCTTGCGATATGCTTCGCGTGTCTATGGCCATATACACGCACTCAAAACGCGTAGAATACGACTTGATATGCAAGACGCACCTCGCTAACTGTTGTGTGTTTCTCCTGCATCAAAAAGTATCTGCCCAAGGTTGAGTGGCCCACACACAGGCACGTAAACGAGACGACACACACTTCTCCTTGTATGTTTGCCGTCGCATAGGCTATATCCAAGCTAAGCGTTCGAGCCCATATCGACTAGAAAACCTGTCCACCTTTGCGCTTGAAGTCCTTTCTAAGGGTCTATCGCCGAAGAGCCTGCCGTTTGGTGGCGTTGGCGCGTTTGACGCAGGTCGGGAGGTAATAGCACTACCGGGGTCCATTGTGTGTACAGTTCAGGGAGATGGAAAGCTGGAGCACCGCGCTCGTCGGATTAACGAGACTGCTGTGCGGAACAAGTGGTAGAAAGCGGATGTATAAGCGACGTATGAAATGTCGAGGACAACGCCTTCGAAGCACACTGGCGAGCGAAGAGTCGGGGCAATGCTTCATCTACCCGTGGTCTACATAATAGGTTCATGCGGTTGTTATTTCAATCTCTGTTAGTATATCGGTTAGTACACGCGCCTGTCATTTCGATGTGCGCGCGAAAGCGGGGTTCGACTCCCCGACAGAGAGTGGGATGGGAGAATTATCTTTTGCGAGATTTTGCCTGCAACTCTCACTCTCATTCACTACTCAACCGATTCATATCCCCTCTATGCTGAAATTTGCGCGTCGGACCCATCGGAGACCTTTGACAAAGACACGACGGGCAAGGGCCAATATACCGGGCAAGGATAGGCACTGCAACGAAACCATACTTTTCCATGGGTTTCGTGATATCGGAAAGGCATTCAAAACGGGGATTTCGTTCGTTTAGGCAGGTAGAAAAGGATAAGGTATCCTTTACGCCCCCCTTTCCGTCGAAAGAAAAAGATGATTTCGTTGTACAGCCGTTTGCATAATGATTTGACGGTCGCTCCGGAAATTCTGTTGTTTGTTCCAGCCAAGCATACCCATATGCGGAAGGTAACAGCACTTCGATCACGCCAAGGCTGCCCCATATGGGTGAATTTGGTCGGAACAAACAAAGAAATTTCCAGCACGACCGTCAAATCAATATCACTGCGGACAAACCGGTATTTTCGGCCTCCTAAGGTGGCCGTAACATGGTGAAGGCATGTCATTTATATATGGTTTCTAGCATTATAAGTGTTAGCAAGCCTAACATGGAAAGATAGCCTTGATGGAGCCAATGAAATGCCGCCTTTTTAAATGTCAGAACGCAGAGCAGAATGTATGTTCGGTATCAGAAATAAATGACATAGTTTTCCGATGTTATAATCACCTTAGAAGGCCAGAAATACCGGTCTGTCCGCAGTGTATGCAAACGGCTGTAGTGAGGTTGGTGATATGTCTGAGTCACGGACGTGGTCTCCGTGATCACCGGCCTTTCACGGTCCGTGAAAGGATACAAATTCCGTGCATATTCCTCGCCTGTCCATGACCGGAACGTACTTACGTGTCACGGGCAGGAAATTTTTCAGGAAGTAAATAGCCAGGAATGTAAACATATGACAGACTTGTCACCGCAAGACAGCTTATCTCGCCCCGATTGGGGATAGTCTGGCAAAATGCCACGAGCAGGTTTTCCGTTCTTGGCCTTTCCCGGGGATTTCCCGTGACGGTGCAGAGAAAGGCTAGTAAGAGAATAACATTGTACGTCATATCCCTACCATTCCCCGCACACGAATGTGGGAAACTTGACACGGTCAGGGATAGGCGCGGAGTAGGCACGGGATGAAACGGGATAGGCCAGTGATTGTGACCGTGACAGGCGCCCGCATTCTAACCATATCCCTAACCAATTCCCGACAGGGATATTCGCCAGTGCGAGCACGAACATGCGCTTCCTCTTTGAAGGAGCCGGTAAGATTGGAACACAGCGTGGATACAAAGTTCGGTTTGGTCACATTGCCTTTGTCCTACAGCTGTGTTTAGCCCCTTGGTACCACAAGACGTCCAAGGCTTATGGGGTATATGGGCCTGTTCAAGCAAGGAAATATCTGAATGTTTGCCTTTAGGCACGCACGGGGGCACCATGGCGTCCGGTGAACTCAAAGCATCCTACGTGTTTTGTCGCGACCGTCACGACCCTTGGTTTTCCAAGTGAGTACCGTCCCAATTATAAGATGATCTCTGCGCATATAAGCTGTCCTGAGCTGTTTTTCTTGTACTGCAGACTACATAGACGTGCCGTGCCGGTCAATCCTCTCATGCAGTGTCAGTAGAGGTGTCTCTTCCTAACGCTCTACAGGTCTTCCATGCGGACTGGATCAGCGACTCGATCTCGTGGAACATCGCGCTCCCAGTCAAGAGTTATTTATTGAATGGTATGTGAACTTCAGGTGAGCGTCACTGCGTACTGATTGTCGGTCTTATAGGCTGCCGCGACAATAGTGCAAAGGCGCTATCCTCTGAAGACTCTCAAGCCACTGTATGCGTCCCAGAAGACAGCAACAGTCTAGCGCAGGACGAGCAAGAACCACCCAGCTCTCAGACCTTGGCCGGATTTCCCGAAGGCTCTACTTGTACAGCGGCGGCGGCGACGGCGACCAAGCGGAAGAGTTCGCCGGAGGCCGACGTGGACATGCAACCATCCGGACGACCGCGCAAGATTGTCAGGATCTCTGACTTCAGTTGCGGCGCTGAAGCTGTGCCCGCGTCGACACCTCAAGCTAAACGGTCGAAGCAGAAGGCGCGTCGGGTGCAGGGGACCCCGTACTTGGATCTCCGCAAGATGGTTTCGTCGAAGAGGGCAAACGAACCGAATTTGGATTACGAAGCTCTGGATGCATCCGGTGCTAGGAAAATTGCGTACGTGGTTGCTTCGTTTTTCTGGATCGCAGTTGTTGACGTCGGATCCCGTTCAGTACTGCGTCTGCGGAACTGCGCCGTGCCATGGAGAGCTCAGGCGACGACAGTCCTAGAACCTCTGTTTGTCTCGCCCTGGACATATTACGCGATATCCCTGTGGAAAATGCTGTGCGGTTCAAGCCTGGTCAACTTCACGATGGCAAGGAATTCCGATGCCGGTTCGTCTCCCAAGAATTTGTGACGAAAGTCAAGAAGTAGTTTGCTATCCTCCAGTGTACTCCCTTTTCCCCTCCTATCGTAAACGAGTACTCTATGTTTGCTACTCTACGCATCCTCAAACTCGTAATCATACCGCATGCTCAGGTTGTTTGGCATCTTGGGGCAGAGCATATAATACGAATGCATCAGTCAGTTTCGAACCAGAGTACCAACTGGACCGGGGTCCGGTCGTAGAAAGCCGGAGTCAATATTCCCACGATCTGAGTTTGTTCGGCGTTTGGCGGGCGATGAGCTCGTCGCGGAGGGCGTCTGCCAGCACCTTTACACCACATACCGGATGGCATCCAGAATCGCCGCTAACTCGCTCAGGGCGACAGGTGCGCTTGTATCTATAGCTACGTAGCTGTATACTTACACGTATCCTGTTGTAGCATCGAGGATACGGCCCCAAGCGGTCGCTTCCCTCCCGCGGGCCATCGTTGCGTGCGTGCGTTTCATAGGTTCGCGCGACACTAGGTAGACTGACTAGATGGTGTGCCCGTAGCCGCGGCATGGCGAGCTCGTCGAACCCGCCCCCAGCTGAAAAGGCGTCCGAGCTGATCAACAAGATGCCCTCGTCCACCGGGCTCGTCACGAAGACGGGCTCCGTCGTTCTCGGCACGGGCTTGCTCGCAACTGCCATTTCGCAGGAGCTCTACGTCGTCAACGAGGAGACCGTCATCGCCGCAGGCTTCTTCGTCCTCCTGGCGTTCATTGCCAAGGTCAGTTCGTTTGGATGCGGTTATGTGTGCTCGAGAGGAGTGACGCGTGTGCCAGAGCATCCGAGAGCCGTACCGCGACTGGGCAGAGGGCCACATCAACCGCATCAGGGGTATCCTCAACTCGTCTCGTGCGGAGCACACGCAGGCTGTCAAGGACCGCATCGCGTCTGTTGAGCAGATGAAGGATGTCGTGTCTGTCACCGAGAACTTGTTTGCTCTCTCCAAGGTACGCGACCTCGCGCATAGCTTCCGCGTACGCCCTACTCACGTCGCATGTCCGTGCAGGAGACCGCGCAGCTGGAGGCAGAGGCGTTCGTTCAGCAGCAGAAGGTTGCGCTTGCAACTGAGGTGAAGGCTGTCCTCGACAGCTGGGTGCGCTTTGAGCAGCAGGAGAAGGAGAACGAGCAGGCCGAGCTCACGAAGACCGTCATTGCAAACGTACTCAAGAGCTTGCAGGATGACAAGGTGCAGAAGGAGATCTTGGCGAACGCTGTTGCGGAGATCGACCGTAAGTGACGTATACTATCACTCTGATGACTTTGCTCATGCTATCACACAGAGCTCGTCAAGAAGCAGGCTATCTAGAGTAGAATATGTTGTGTGTAGTTTGCAATTGACGACTAATCCGCAATGCATTCATTGACTTCCTCGACTTTTGTTTGTCAACCTTTGTGTCACTGACATTATGGTCATGAGCACCTGGGTCTGCGTTCTTCTTGTTAGGCACCGTATATCAACTGGTGCACGGTCTCCACATTCCGCGGAGACCTCGTTCATGAGTGAGGTCGCAGCGGCGGCAACAATCGAAAGCTCGAGGCTCGAGCACGTGGTAGCGCGTCAAAGGGCGGGAAGTGGTGTAGGTTGCCGACCGCCACATCTTCCTCTCGACGACTTGCTTCCGTTTCCTCTGCTTAGCGGCGTGTTGGAAGTACTACACGCTCCTCATCTTGTCTCTTGCGTGTCTCTGCGGCGCGGGCGCGTGACTAGCTATACCTGCCGAACGTCGACGCGTTCCTGCCTGGCCACTGCCTGCCCCTCCGCCCTTCATCTCCCGAGTCCTATAACAAAACGACGACCCTTTCACGACCCTTACTCGCTTACGACTACCACCATGGACGCCGACCTCATTAAGCTCGTGAATAGATTGCAAGACACCTTCGCCAACCTCGGTACGTTGCCCATGCATATCCGGAACGCGGTCATAACTGAGAGCTGCCATGTAGGCGGAGAGCTGGACATGCCGCAACTCGCAGTTGTACGTCCCATTCTTTGCTCGCAGTGCAATGAAGGGTCTGAATGAGGTGGTAGGTTGGCAGCCAGTCCGCAGGGAAGTCCAGTGTACTCGAAACGTAAGTTCTCCGTTACTTCAGTCTGCCGTTATGCATGGAATTAGTGGCCGGTGTTTGGCGAGAGACCCAATTGTGCCTCAGAGTTGGCGGGAGTGGCGGGTATGTATCCCCGCATTGCAATACACCCAGCGTATCCTACTTTTGGCAAGCGAAGCCCCTGGTCGTGCTATGCCGATATGGAGATGTCTAGACTGAGGCCGAGTTCCCTCCATGGCACTCCCGCTCAGTTCCTTCACTTCCCGAACCTTCAATAATATACGGGAAGCGTGGAACAAATCGTAGTATCTGTGCACACTGCAGTTCCTGGGTGCACATGTGTTAGTCTCGCTACATGCATTCAGACGGTGTTATACGTTCCGGCACTGACATCCTGCCGATATAGCATCGTTGGACGCGACTTCCTCCCCCGAGGACAAGGCATTGTCACACG